CCCCCAACCAACCATACCCACATTAGGTTAAGACTTTGTATATATATATCCCTGTAGCCAAGTCTTAAGTCCACGGTAGCAAAATCGCAACTCAGTCTAGTCTCAAAGTTCACTGCATAAAGAAAAAACAGCAAAATGACAACGATAAGAAATTTGAAAATAAACATACGATCCAAAAGGGCGACAAGAACATCACAGTAAATATGAAAGGAATAAAACAGAATTCAACAAAGAGCTCAAGAATTCAAATTGTTTAGTTGTCAAGTTGCGTTTACGACAAGTTATCCTGAAAACTGCCACATGTCACCAATTAACGTAGGCTGTACTTGAAAGAGCTGTTCGAAAAATGGGAAAACACCATGAGTAAAGAATTAAGAACATTACCGTAGGATAGACACATTAAGAGAACGTGACCTTGAAAGTAGTTTTCGTTTTCTAATGAGCTTCAGAACAGATCATCAACAACCATTGTAAATCACAACATTCATGCAGGGAGCAAACGTTTGAAGTACAACGACGAAAAAGAGCACTCGGGGAAGCGAAGGCCTGTTCTCAGCCAACAGGGTTATTACCGCCTGAATCACTGATCTCATCGGAGTGATTGCCCCTTTCTATTTCGTCAACGACAGATGTGTAGTTGTCTCCCTCCGTTTCATGATTCTCTGTGAGTGTTCAATGGCGATTTACGTTGGTTGGGAGGAGGAAGTTAACACAGTCAGTTACTTTGAAAAACGTTTCATGTGAAATTACACGCTCCAAAATATCGAGCTGCTAATGTTCCTTTAGAAAAAATCATTGTATCAATGACGAATGCCAATATAAAGATGTTAACCCTTTTAAAACAGATCTTCGAAACGATCTGTGTGTATTTTATACGATAAAACTTACGTTTCAAAAGAGTTAAAGCGATTAAAACGCACCTGTTCATAACAGGCAAGGCTGATTTTGGCAGTTGTATATCCAAAAAGACTATGGCTTGCTCATTTATAATTAGGTAAGAATACCCTGTAAACTTTGCAGGTTTAAACTTCGAGCCTTAATTCTTTTATCTTTTATATCTAAACAGTTAAAATTATGATTGAGGTGTTCGAAAACGCCTTTGCCACACGCAAAGTTGGCAATAAATATAATATATTCTCCACCTTCCAGATATCTCTTCTATCTGGTTCTTTTTATTTCGTATCATAAAACTTATAACAGAGGTGCCTCTGGCTGGTCCTCTTAATTCTTTTCTTTCCCTCTGTTGTTTCTGTCAGTTTTATCTTGCTTTTTCACCACCTCTAATGAAAGTTATCGTGTCGTTGTGCTTTTCTTGACTCAAACTAAACTAAAGTAAGCATGCAACACTTTAAGTTATCCTTTAATACCCAACATACCGATAAGACGGGTAAGAAGGAACTTATCCCTGTCGACCAACTAAACGTGTGTCCGAAGAGCTAAAGGTATGTTTACTGAGCTCGAAGAATAAACGTGAGTATTGGCCTAAATACTAGTTTTAAAGTTTTCAAACAACAAAATGTGTCTATAATTTAGTTTCAACAACCTACGCACCGATTTGCAATGCGTTCTAATATATAGGCTGTCAATGAAGGCTAGTGTATATAGCCTAAACGATCGAGAAGGTACTCAAAATGCCACTTTTTGCCATATGATAAGAGTGCGAGAGGATTAGGAATACAAAACTATAATTACCTATTAAATCACAGCACCCTACACCTTTCTCAACTATACTATAATGTCCAAGTGATCTATCTATCAATCTATCAATCTATCTATCTTATCTGTCTGTCTGTCTGTCTGTCTGTCTGTCTGTCTGTCTGTCTGTCTGTCTGTCTGTCTGTCTGTCTGTCTGTCTGTCTGTCTGTCTT